AGAAAGAAAGTCACTATTATGGCAAAAGTATTTTCATCTTAATGGGATTCAAACCCATGACACGCTATCTTGCACTGGGTAACAGACAGTGATAGTGCTTTTATCAGGAGAAAGAAATTCACTATTATAGCAGGTATTTTATTCCTAATGGGATTCAAACCCATGACAAACTGTCCTGCACGGGGTGAATGACAGTGAAGGTGCTTTTAACAGTTATAAAAAAGAATCTCACTATTATAGCAAATGAATTTTACTCTTGATGGGATTCAGACCCATGACACACTATCTTGCACTGGGTAACAGACAGTGAAGGTGCTTCTATCAGAAAAGGAACTCACTCAAGAAAAACAGTGTGGTCAACAGACAGTCTAAGTGCTTTTATCAGTAGAAAAGAACTCATTTTTTTAAGGAAAAGGATTTTAATTGTTATGGAATTCAAATAATGAAACACTGTCTTGCACTGGGCCTACAACAAGGACCGGTTTGTAACCCTTCACTGTCCAAATTGGACAAGCAAGCTGAAGATTGGTAACATTATATAAATATATATCACAAGTTTCAAATTGCATGCATACAATTGCCCTAGCTGAGAATAAGAATAAGTGTGGGGGTAAATGAATTACTTTGATCAGGAATTGATATCATTATGATACTCATAAATTGCGAGTTACACGTGTAATCAACAAGAAAGGAAAAAAGTTTGAAACATTTCATTGCAACTGCATGTTTTTTTGGCACAAAGATGTAGGTGTGAAATTCAGTTATTTCAGGATATGCACTAGTGCAATTCCAAATGAACCTGATTTATGAAGATGTGATTATCCTATTTATGTCTAGGATGTTTTTATACATATAAACTTACTTCATTTGTTTAGTTCTTAGTTTTCTATGTACCTGAGCTGTGTGATGATTTAAATGCTTACTTGACAAACAACCTACATGTGCATGGATGATAGCACACTTCTGGTTATGAACTTATGAAGGTAAGAAAAATATCTAAATGTAATTCTACAAGTGATGTAATGTGACAAGTGAAAACAGGAACCATTGTTCACTATTACCCAAAAGTGAACAGTATCATTTATTCAATAATAATGAATTCAAGCATAAGGAATGAGAGCAAGATTTCATGATGAACTACATGATTAACCTTTTAAACCCCATAAGCAACCAAAACAATTTCTTCTTGCAATATCATTACAATAACAAGGAGACAAGAGATAAGAAAAACAAAAAACATTAATTATGGGTAGTTGATCCAATACCAAGTTCTCTGAAATAACATCATTAGATTTGTATGGCAGACAGTAAGGAGAATTACCAATGACATCTTGTGAGTGAAAGGGTTACCTCACTTGTTAAAAGTGAGGACTTCAAGCTGGTATCTTTATGGCAAATGCAATTTTACTCTAGAGAGTAAGCCTTTCATAACAAATTTGCAAGCAACAAAATTGAGAGAAAATCCATGCTTAAAAATCACTATGTCACTTTTCTTTCTTCCAATTTTTTTACTCCAGTTTGTTTGTATTATTTTATTGTTTAGTTAGTTAAAAAACATGCATTTGCACAACTTCATCTCTGAATTAGGTCACTCATTAGGTTTGCATGTTTGCACTGCAATTAATGTAACAATTCAACTAATTAAAAGTGTATTTTAATTTTGTGTTTTAGGATTGTGAAGACCTCTATTAATGATTGAAGGGAAGACATGTGATCGATATCATTCAGTAAGTTCAAGTTATGGAAAATGGCATTGGGTTGTGTACTCGTTTTTGTGCTGCAGCCTTAATGGAACAACAACTTGGAGGTTTAGAGTACCTGATCACATAAAGCTCATTGCTCATCAAAAGAATGTACTGTACATGACTGAACAACTATGGAAAACTTTGTGACATTTCCTCAAAGTCACTCTGCAGATGGAACTCTATAAAGTTAATTTTCACATACATATTAATTTTATGAGATGCCTTAAAACCCCAAGGTTGCACCATTGCACTGGTTGGGGTTACATGGTCCCCATTTTTCCCCTCAAAGAGGGGTTTTTAGGGGTTTGCGTGTCCGGCTTTGGTGCACTAGGTTAGTTTTACATTTTACTGGAAAAGCTATGAGCACATCTACCTAGATCCAAACAAAAGAGCAATGAAACTGCTACTCAACACCTACAGCTTTAATTGTAAAAAAAAAAAGTGTTGTGACAAGTAAGGCTCAGATTAGAGCAACATACATGTACCTATAGTTAGAGCTTTTTTTTTTGTTTGTTTTTTTCTCTAATTCATAGTTTGGCTGTTTGATTTATTTCCAGAATACTTCTCTAGTCACATTTTGTAGACTCTAGGTTTTGGGCATCAAATGAAATTTCCTTTTTTATGGAAAGCAATTATTGACTTGAAATCAAAAAATTGCTTCAAAGCTATCTATTTCAAAAATAGTTGGTTGAGTTCGACCACTTTTGAGATAAAAGCTTTTGGTGTGAGTTGATGATACAGCTTAATAAGCTTAAAAAATTAAGCTAGTTTGACACAAACTAGCTTAAAAAATTAAAGGTATAGCTTAATAAGCTAAAAAATTAAGCTATTTTGAAAAAATAGCTTAAAAATGTATGGTAATATTTCATTTAATGCTCATGCCTACATCTTTGAAATGTGAAGTTTAGTGTTCTGGAAATAAAAATGGTTTGATACAATCTTAAGTTTGCACCATAAAACTACAGGTATGTTGTTCAATCTGAGCCTTTTAAATTGATTGGACTTAATTTTCAATTAATTTGATCCTTAAGGTGAAACAAGTTATTGGCCTTATAAATAAGTATATTTCTATACCAAAATTTTGAACTTGACATATCATGGACTCCCCCTTCAATGGAAATGTTTAATTAAGACTAACTCTTAACCTTAATAAGCACCTAATACTAATTCAATTAACTAATCGAGGAGGGGGTTCAGGATGTTTCAGTTCTGAAAGCATCTAAATATACAAAATGAAAATGGTGTTACGGGGTAAATATTTACTCTTAAGATTCAAGTCTACCAATATAGTTTACATATAAATGTATTATGTAGTTTAGTTATACGGAATATCAATAGGGAATTGATAAGAAATAATGTTAATAATAAAGTATTGCTATGAGTAAATGAATAGTGGTCTAGTGTTTATCGCAAAAATCATCTCTTCATTAAAAATACAGCTTTGAAGCTTTTTGTGACTTCTGTGATTCAATTGTCAATAATCTCTGATCATGTTACAAGGTTCATGTCTCCATCCCAGTTTAAGCCCTGTCAAAGAAAACAATAGTGTATTTTCCCCAAAGCACCTGTTCCTTCTAACTTCAAAATAAATATCATTGAAGAAATGTAAAATGATTTCCGTGTTTACATAGCCTGATGTAAACACGCGGGAGGTTGGGAGAACACGAGATAAGCGTAGGAAACCATGACGCGAAGCGGAGTGGTTTCCAGCTTATCGAGTGTTCTCCCAACCTCTCAAGTCAGGAATCCATTCGCTATTCTTAAAAGGCGAGAAACTCAATTTTCAAATAATCAAAGAACCATCGGATCGATAAGTGAGGGGGGACCAACATTTTTGCATCTCCTAATACGTTTCTCGGAAATCCTAAAATTCGGACGTTCATTTAACGGAGCGGAAGAGTTAAGTAGCGCCGAGTTTCGCAACAAAGCGATTTGAGACTCTCCCCCTCTCATTTATTCCACCTAAAAAAAAAACAACAAGAACGACACAAATTAGAAACATGTAGGTTACTTTGAAGCGCACCTACTACTATGCGTCAGCCTTACATGTTTACGGCTCCCTAGCATGGCTCTGATTCAGCTGTATTTGTCCCCTTTTTGAAATAACTTTTGAAGAATCGCAATTCTAAGGAAAGAAACGCTGCGAGAGAAAAATTGTGATTTGCACCAGTGAAATAATGACTGTGAGGGATTTAGGCGATAAGAGTCGCTTGCCGCCATTTTGACGGAGCGCTCGCGCGTTCCCAGGAGCACGCGGAGACTTTTATTTTATCATTGTTGTTGTTATTGAGGTTATTATAATTGTTATCATTGTTATTATTATTATTATCACATCATTATTTTTATTATCATTTTTATTACTTTTATTATTAATGTTGTAATTATAATTAACATAATTGTTTTTCAAAATTAATTTTTGTAGCCTGTGTAGCTGGCGTGTTTGTGAGTGCTGTTCGGTTTGTGTGCGCCAGTTAGAGGCGAATAGAAAAAACCTGCTATACCGTGGTTTTCTTTAGGCTTTATTTTCGATTTTTTGTACGCCAAGTGAGTGTCAAAGCCAAGTTTAAAATTTTTTTCCTCCTAAGCCTTCCGCGGCTTCGTTGTATATTGCTGTAGCGCACACAAAACCACCAGACTCAATCTATTTTTATCATCGTCGTCATCATCATCGTTACTATTTTTTACGCTTCTGTCTACCCTTCTCCTGTAACCTGTTGAGCGGCCGGTAGTATACGGTCCATATGAGCCTTCGACGCAAGGGGTACCACGCCATGATGACGTCTCGCACAGTGACCGGTCTGACAGGTTTATGAAGATTTCACCCCATTGCAAGTTCGCCCTCAACCTTTACGAGTTCTTCTCCTGGAATAAAAAAGGTTAACCCCCAAATCCTTTAACTTTTGTCTTTAAACGCTGTCTCCAAGTTTGATGTATCCAGTATAAAAAACCGTAGTAAAACAGACTGCAACTTTCAAAAAAAAAGCAAAATTTCTAAAAATCTTTCTGTGTTTCTTCGTTTTCGTATTTTGGCTGGTTCCTTCTTGCATTAAGGGGTCTTCCATTTTTAACTAGATAGTTGTCTTCAGTGACGCCTCAAGAAATAATTTTATTACGAGTTGCGCGCCTTTGTCCCGTCTCTTGATATACCCTCCCCCATCCCACCCACAAATGTCTTCGTTTCTACGTGCCAAATATGGGTATACTGTGTCACGTGATAAACGATAGTTCTCCGTGATTTCACGTACAGAGGTCACAAAGGAAGAATTTTGGCCAGTTTAGTGCAGCAACGAAAATGGCGAATCGCTCTAAAGCTTCTGAGCAGCTCAGTGATTTCTCCAGGGCCAAAAGGGTAAGAAGCTTTCCAGTGTTAATTTCCCTCTGCGCCAGTCCTTGTGTAGTAATTGCAAACGTGTCTTCTCTTTCAAATTCATTGACTTACAGAGCGTATTTAGTCAAGTGTGGGTATGTGAGTATGTTACAATTTTCCAACCATTTACTAGTGGAAATTAGGTCTAATCTAACCATTCCCAGGATTTTTTTGTAAGCAGATATTTTCCAATCAGTCTAGGCTGTAAGTGATTCTGTTTGTGTGATCTACCGAATCGAATCATGTTTGCTCCTTGGCGGGTGGCTCCTCCGATCTATTTACTGTGTAATCGCACGTAATGACAAAATTTCCGGCAAGAAGCTCGGCTAGGAGTCAATTGAGGTCATGATATGCATTCGTGTTTGGCTTGATAGGACCGTAAAATCCTCTACTTATCAATTATTTTCCTGACACAACCGTGATTTTTATTTTGTGTTTTTGCAGAAGTTTTCAAGTTACGTTAATTTTTCTATTGATTACTTTGTCAGCCAGAAATTAGAGTTTCATTCGTTAGTTTTATGACGATTTTCACACCTATGTTCCTTCACTTAAGTGATATTTTGCAGTATCACTACTTCTTTCACGTCAGTAAACTCCTTTCTAGGAGCACGTACATCTTAGGAAGTAATTTCCACGTACGTATTACACAATGTGTGACGTTCTTGGCTATTGTTAGCTGTAAGAAAGGGAAATATAAGCCATTGAGCGTGTGACATCGTGCATGCATCATTTCGTGACTCATCTTGCATGCTTAGCAAAGAATAGAGCACAGCTGAGCCTTTTTTACTTACAGTCAAAGAAATGTTTGGATTATTTGTCTCTTGACTGTAACAAGCAAGTTTCCACATGCTAGATACAGATGTGTATAAGAAGCTCAAACAAAAACCATGCATGCAGGCATCATTCTGACAGAAGTTATACTTAACCCTCTGACCCCTAAGAGTGACTATTATCTCATTTCTCCTTACAGTATCACCCCCAAACACACATTGAGGTCTGGAGAATTAAGGAAATTGTCATCCACTAAATAATTATAAAGAACCTCTTGAATGCTAGACAAATTCAATTTGTTAGCACCTTTAGAAGGAAATTTATGGAGAATATGTATTTTGATGTTAGGGTGTAAAGGATTAAACATGGCTTAAAAAGGTTTAATTATGATTTTGAAAAGTCCTTTGTATTCTTGACAAGTCTCCAGATGTTCTCACTACTGGAACTGGGTGTCCAATTGACACAAAGACATCTACCATGACAGTTGGACCCAGGGGACCCATTCTGTTACAGGATGTACAGTTTCTGGATGAGATGAGCCACTTTGACAGAGAAAGGATCCCAGAGAGAGTGGTACATGCCAAGGGAGGTGGTGCATTTGGATATTTTGAGGTCACTCATGACATTACCAAATACTGCAAGGCTGCAATCTTCAACAGAATTGGAAAGAGGACACCTTGTGTTACCCGATTTTCAACAGTAGGTTTGTAAAGCATGTGTGCTAATTAAATTGTACCATTTAAGAACCTCTCTGTGGAAATTTTTGTTTGAAACAGCTATTGCATATGTTTGTCTTTATATTTGATTGCATTCATGTACATGTATGTGGAGGGAAGTTGATAGCTAAAGGGATCTCAAACTAGACTGGAAACAGAAGATAACCCTTTATAATTTATTCATCTATTTTTGTAAAACAGTGATTCAACATTTTATTGTCATTTCTCTTTACACTTGTGCAGATTTTGATGAAAATATATAGTATTACTGACAGTATACAGTCCTGAACATCCACTAGCAGACTCCACTGTACAATCAACTGCATAAAGTTAAGGTTGCTCCTGGAGTTAAAACTTTACAGCTACATTGCCCTTTAAACAGAACTAAAATTTGGGGAATACTATCAAAGTAAAAGCTGTGAAAACTGACTTATCAACCACATTTTTAATTTTATATCATGGACTGTTTAATCTGAAAGTTTTACCTGCTCTTAATCCTTGAACTCCCTTTCTTCTAACAATATCAATATGATATGAAGTGTGAAAGTGATAAGAATAAAGAAAAACATCATTTGGGGGATTATTAGAGGATCTTGTACCAATTTCTCCACAGTAACATCATTAGGATTTTATGGCACACAGTAAAGAGAATTACTAATGAGATATTGGGAGTTAAAGGGTTTTATAGATTTAAATAGATTTATTTAGATTTCTGTTATTTAGATTTATTAGTGGACTTATTTCTCTCTAAAGTTATATGTTTCATTACTTTACTGTACCCTTAGGTGGAGAGTCTGGCAGTGCTGACACAGCTCGTGACCCTCGTGGCTTTGCCATGAAGTTTTACACTGAGGAGGGAAACTGGGATCTTGTTGGAAACAATACTCCAATCTTTTTTATCAGAGATCCAATCCTGGTATACATTTTTTTTATTATACTAAATATCAAGTATTAGTGTTCAGGTAACAATCCAGAACAAGCAGGAAGAGAGAATATTGGTAATATACAATTTTGGTTAAGAATAAACACAGCTTAACCTGGTTAAATCAAGTGCAAGGTTCCTGTGGGTGTTTTGCTTCTAAATTTGGTAAAGGAATTCTATTTATTAATAAATAAAGGAATTTGTTCTGGTAAATTTAATCTGCTTTTTGGTTGCAGTGCATGCTTTTCTAGAACTGTAATTCTCTTATTCATGTCTTAGTTTTGTTTTTATTCCATTATACAGTTTCCCAGTTTTATTCATACCCAAAAAAGGAACCCCACCACTCACCTAAAGGTAAAAAAAGGGTTAATGTATTATGTGTTGTTAAGTGATGTCAAAAATATATTTTGATTTTGTGTACATTGTGCTTTTAATTAATGAAATGTCAAGTTGCTCTTTGATTCTTGATTTTATTTCTAAATTTATTATTTTTGTTTGTTTTTATTAGGACCCTGACATGTTCTGGGATTTCATCACCCTGCGTCCTGAGACTACCCATCAGGTGTGTTTCCTGTTCAGTGATCGTGGCATTCCTGATGGCTACCAGCACATGAATGGCTATGGAAGTCATACTTTCAAAATGGTTAATGAGAAGGAGGAAGCTGTTTACTGCAAGTTCCATGTCAAGGTACAGCTACAAAAGCAGTTATACTTTTTACTGCTGCAAAATACCGTCTAGTATAATTTATTTCTAAGCCTGTTGCATTGTTTGGCATGTCTATATCCTCTTGAGTCACATGTTTCTTGGATTATTTACGATTTTATAGTATTCCTAAATTCAGCTCGGTTTAAGTGTGACACTACATTTGATCTATTTATTTATTATGACAGACTGATCAGGGGATAAAGTGTGTGCCTGCAGACAAAGCAGAGCAGTTAGCAGGTTCTGACCCAGACTACAACAACAGACTTCTTTTTAATGCCATTGCTGGTGGAGACCCAGTAAGTATACTGCTTTGGGTCTCTGTCACCCAGTGACCCAACTTTTGTTCAGTAAGCTATCATTGTGCTCATTTACACAGTCCTCTCTACAGTAAGTGGGACAAGTTTCATGAAAATATGTACATGTTTTAGACCAAACATGTGTGATACATGTACATGTGTATGCATGTAACTGTTAAACTTAACTCCAAATAAAGTTACATTTTGAGACCAAGCATGTGTGATACGTGTACATATGAATGTATGTAACTGTTAAATGTATAAACTCCAAATTAAATTACTTTTTGGGGATGTGGGTCATTATCTAAAAGTTGGTAATCTGGTAAAAGATGAAGTTATTATATATTCATAAAATTAAACTAACTAACTTGATGAGAGCATCTTTAATGATTTTTTTTTTGCCCAAAGTAATATGTATAAACTTTTGTTTTAGCCATCATGGACCATGTATATTCAAGTTATGACCTTTGAGGAAGCTGAAAAGTTCCGCTGGAATCCATTTGATCTTACTAAGGTTTGATAACAGAACTTCCATTGCTTACCAATTGTCACAAAATACTTGTTACATGTTCACATTCTATCCTGTTCTTGATTATTAGATCTGGCCACATTCTGAGTTCCCTCTCATCCCAGTTGGCAAAATGGTGCTGAATCGTAATGCAAAAAACTACTTTTCAGAGATAGAGCAGAGTGCTTTTAATCCAGCCAGTATGGTTCCTGGTATTGAGCCTTCCCCTGATAAGATGCTTCAGGTATGAATTGCATGTAACAGATCATAGCTTGATACATTAGCTTTACATGCAAGATTATAAAATGCTCTATGGTTGTACAAAAGCTTTCATAATTCTAAAGAAGCAGTAAAACATGTGGTTTGCTGAGCTTTGCTTCATATCAAAGGAGATAAGAAGTTTAGGAAGAAAACACTTTATATTATGCTCCACTCATTTTCTGTTGCGTAGGACATCCTAAAACAAAACTAAAAACAAGGGATGGACATCCTACAATCATAATCCAGGAACATGCCCCTTTGATCCCTCCTAAGGTTTGCAACAGGATGATTAGCTGCATACTGTATTGTATAACACATATTCACTGATGTGTCTTCAACTGTATAGTTTGTTTGATACTGGAAAAAGTTCATTCATTTCTGTTAAAAGTTCAGTGACCCCCAAACTAATTATAGGGGACACTGTGGTGTCCTGAGCAAGGATACAATTCATGTCACAGCTTTATTAGTTCTTACCAAGGATTTGTAAGAAGCCAGTTACTAAAGGGTGCCACACCTGGTAATTTGTTTTTGTGTACTGCACTTGAACACTGTTTGCAGATGTACAAGTATGTTTATATGTCTCACATGCAGTATGTGTACAGGTTTTTTTTTTTGCTTTTCTTAGGGCCGCTTGTTCTCCTATCATGACACTCACCTGCATCGTTTGGGAACTAACTACTTACAGCTTCCAGTGAACTGTCCATACAGGACTAGGGTTACAAATTACCAGAGGGATGGACCACAGACCTTTGATAACCAAGGTAATATGACAAGCTGAAAGCCTGCATTGAGATAAATGTGTCTCAGGGGCCACTTCAATCTGGACTTCAAACTATTAAAATTTGCTTCTTGTGTATCCCTTATTAAATTTATTACTTAAGTTTTTGAACAAAGGTCAGTGAGTTACTGACATTAGCAAGATGAAATTTCAAAGAATTCAAGAATTAGTTAATTATGAGTTAGAGTATCTAGCTGTCTGCCAATTCAAAAGTCTTGTGTTTGTTGTTTGTTGTTATTTGTTGGTATTGATGTAATCCTTGTTTCTGATCATTTCTTCTTCCAGAGGGTGCTCCAAACTATTTTCCAAACAGCTTCACAGGGCCTTTGGATGACTTGAGGCATTCACCACACACAGTCAAGGTAAGTGTAGATAGTCAGAAGTCCATTTTAGTGTTTCTTAGTTGGGGAGTTATTTTTTAATTGATAGTCTCCAAGCACAATTCATGAAGTTGATAGACAATGTTTTTGTTTTATTTTAGATCACTGGTGATGTGGCCCGATACAACTCTGCAGACGATGATAACTTTTCACAGGTTGAATATTTTTTTATGTAATGGCAGATATGTTTGTTGTTTATACAGCTCATTCATTCTTAAACAGTGAGGGCTGTGTACTTAAACAAAGTTTGCCATTGTTGAACAAAACTACATTATTTCTAAACTGTCTTGAATTTAGCTGAATCTTTTATTGGAACATTTATTTTTGTGAACAGTGTCAAGAGGGCAAAAAGCTAGCTGTAGAAGGACATTTATGTAATGAAAACAAACCTCTTATAGAGAGTACATAAGGCCCACTGCTTGTGTAAAACGGCCATTTTAGACAACTTACAGTCTAAATAACCAGCCCTTAGTGATTGATCTGAGGTTTTGAGAAACAGAGAGAAAAGTGGTTTGATAGGATTGAGAAAGCCAAATGCTTCTAAAATTCCCTTGTTTTAAAAGATGATGTACATGTAGCTGCATGAGATTTTGATCAAGTGCAGTGAAATCTCAGCATATTGGTAAGTTCATGAACAATTACAGGCTGTAGTGTGTCAACATGATAAAGGCCAAACAACTACATGTACATCTTGAGGGGATGGGCTTGGTGTTTGAGAAATTGTACATACGACCTGATGAAATTGTACAGGCTCACACTAAGAGATAAGCAGACATATTCTCATCAATATCTAGAGAAATGGATGTGCATTGATGTAGTGGAAATAATGCATCTTTATTGAGAAGGCATACAATGTGCTTTAGCAGTAATTTACCTCATATGTCAGTACATTTCATGTTTTTGGCCTTACTACAGGTCACAGATTTCTGGAACAAAGTTTTGAATGAAGCAGAGAGAACTAGGCTGGTGAATAATATTGCTGGTCACCTGAAAGATGCTAAACAATTTCTTCAGAAACGAGCTGTAAGTACAGTGTAGAATGCAATGATTGTTTGAAAAATTATTTGAATCAAAATGTGATAGTAAAATTTAATGATCATGGGGTGCTTTACAAATAGCTAACATGATGTTATTTTTCCTTCGTTTTGTTAGGTGAGTAATTTCACGCAAGTTTCTCCTGAGTTTGGTCGTCGACTGACTGAAGCATTAGCCGAGTATCACATGGTAAGTGTCTGTTTAAGCCTAATAACAATGTGCATACTCTGCCCACTGTTCTCTATACATTTCTAAGGTGCTGAAAGGGAGAATTTCTTTAATAATCAAGAGCTTTCTTTAGTTCATGATTATTTCCTTTATTCTTGTGGCCTAAATGTTTGATTCAGGGTGATATTATAAGGAGAAATGAGATGTAAGTCAATCTTGGGGGTCAAAGGGCTTATATAAATAAAGTTACTGCTTGATGTATAATGTTCACTATTTAGAACACCAAAATCAACGCCTTTTTCGCGTGCAGTGAAGAAATGCTCGATATGGGGAAAAGGTGCTACGTGTTCTAATTTTCTTCTAAATGGACACCTCTGAGTCTATTTTAGAGAGCTGTCATTTAGCTAAGGAAAAGTGTCCGTTCGAAGAATTGAAATCGTATTTTATTGAATTGTATCGTATTATTTTACCACTAGATTTTTTGGTTTTCCAAGTACACTGTGTTTTATCGTCGACAGACAACATTTTCCTTGTCTGATTTTTCTTGTAGCCCAAGGGAGCCACAGCTCAGGCCAGCCTTTGAAACCAAAGTTGAAAGAAGACTGGAATGACATACAAGACGGGATTACCGAATCATGAGATAATGTCCAACACTTATCAATAATAAGAGAATCAGCTTGGGACAAAGGAACATTTGAAACTGTACTGATGATTCTTAACTTTACCGAAGTGACATCTGTAAATTAGTTTTACAGTAAGGCAGAATCTTAAACTGGTAACAAAGGTAATAGTGTATGATGAAATCCCAAAAGGCTGAGGAATCTCCTCGCTCAATATCTGTGTGCTGAAAACCAAATTAACAAGATTATGAGAATCGTGTGGAAGCCTTTTTCATGCTGCCAAGCCTATGATTATAATTTGAGCGTGATTATGTCCCTTCAGCGAATTCCATTTGTGCTACTTAATATAAACTTGGAGTATTGTTTATTAGTCATACGTCTGTTAAACCAATTGTTTTTTTAATGGGAAATGGTTATTGTAATGGAAATTTTTTCAAAAGTTGAGTCAATAAACCTGGATTTGTCAACAAGTATCGTTTTTTTCGAGTAATGTTGAAATATCTTGAGCACGTCGGTTTTCCCAGTGTTACTGACGAAAAATGGTACTGCAGATAGGAAAAAATCCATTTACAGGCTTGTAAACCTTTGTCAACGTAAACTGACGATAAACTGGTTAATTTAACTGGAAAAAAATGTTTTACGATTTCGTTAGTATCGAATAATCTCACAGAGGCGGCTCTTCCCTTCAAAAACATGATCATGTGACTTGTCACGGATTTTTTTATTTTTCGTTACCGCTGTAGCATCATCTGTTGCACCTAGAATATGCGACAGAGTAAGAATTTTGTTGGAATGGTTGTATTCAAAGACCAGAACTTAAAGTCTTCCTCAGCGTTAATCGAACGGGCTGGTTGGACAACTCTCCTTCATGATGAGTAAACCATGCCAATTTTCCTTTTTGGTTTGATTTTGTTCAATCCTTTTTTTTTTTCTTTTCTTTCAACAAAGCTGATTATAAACTTGATGTTGATGGCTAAAGTAAATGAAACGCTTTAGATATTATCCAAACAGCGTTAAGAAATTCACTACAGTGATTTATCTACTTAATCTACTCCACGCACAGTAGTTATCTTTTGAATACTTCCGCTGACCGTCTTAGCCAGAAACTAAAAACTCTTGAGTTATTTTCGGAAGTGTCGTTTAACAGTAGCCAATAAAGAGAAACGAAAATTTTCCAAAAACCAATTAGAAGTCAGATAAGAAGCACATCGTCTAGATTAAAGCCATTAAACATTGGAGACTAGGTGTATTTTCTTCTTTGTGACACACCAGTGGGTCATGAACCTAATGAAGATAATGGATGGATTCTGAAGGTTTCGATTGAAAACCGGATTCTCCCTTAAAGTTTTGCACAAACCTACTGAAGTACAAGGAGAATTTCGTTGTTGATAGTTTGCCGGAAAGGCAAGTCATTTTGTGTAATAAGCGTGAATTGCAGTGAATAGGGCACCATGTTACGCGACAGGTCACTAGCAACCAGCTGTTGATCCCCTAATATAGCGCCTTGGAATACAGGCTAATACACATAAATTTCAGATCCTATTCCTCAAGAAACGTAACTTTATTTACCACAAACTAGAAAATGGATCATTGATTTATTCTAGGAAAGGGAAATAAAGAAATCAGGATGTCGTCAAATTAACCGGAAATCTGGTGAGTACTTCACTATTTAGTAATCCAATTCTTGTTAACAATAGCCCTTCAGTCGATTGCAGATAAACTGCCTTATTGATTCGCGTTCGCGATAAAATTGAAAACAATCCTATAAAATCTCAACAGTATATATAGTCGTAACAGAAATACTGTTCGATGATTGCAAAGTAATTAGAATGAGCTGGAATATATTGCTAAACTATCGCCAACTATTCTCAACCCTTTACAGGCGTAATCAACGACATCATGAAAGGGTTTGATCTCTGTCAAACTCTCACAGTTTCGTCGACGTGAGGTTGATCTTTTTCAGAATGTTAAACTTGAGATGGCATTTCGAAATTCTTTTATTGTTTTAAGCATATAAGGAAGTTAAGAATCCCGAAAAAGACCAACTACACACCCATTTGGTGTTGTTCTTGCCATAACAGGAAGTCCTTCAGAGATTCCAATTCACCCTTTTGACAAGTGTTTCTGATTATTTCGTATGTAACTATAATTTTCCTGGCGCATTTTAAATGATACAAAAGCAGCTACACGTTTTGGCAATGCAAACATTTGTTTCCGTTGTTTCGACCGCTAATTTTGTAATGCTAAGAGAACACCAGCTCGGTGGAATTAGTTTTCATACTTTGCAAAACAACCTGAGATATCAAATTAGCCTGTGTTGGTCCTCCCTGTCACTTTGAATAAACGATTCCCTTGAACCGGGGGAGAAAATAACTGCAATTCAAGTATGGCCAAAAAACTGCGAGCTAACGTTTTCTGTTGATAAGGGGCAAGCGTGCTTCCCGATATAAACTTACCCAAAATCTGTTTGACTTGCAGTGTTTTCATTTCATCGAAGAAATAGATGGCAAAGGAATCTCATTGGACATCTCTCTCAAAGTTCAGTATGTCTGTGATGATGTTCTTAACATCACTAGCTCTGCTATCGGTAACAGGTACGTTGCTTTGAATAGGATTTTATACTAAACTCCCAAGTTTAGCAGAAAGGGTTTGTAACTTGAAGTACTTGGTAAATTCTGCAGCCGTGCATGCTTTAATCATGTGATTTCTTCACGCTCAAGTATTACTTTTCTCACTTGAACAGGTCGGTGAAACCCGGAGGAGATGGATAGGGCCGCTGCCCCTTTCCCATTCAAGCAATGAGGAAGGGGAACTCGCCCACCCGAACGTCTTCTCCACCTATTGTCATTTTTACTATGTAACTATAGTGACGTTTGCAAACTACGTTTTTGCTCTATTTTAGAATCAAATGCCGCTAAGGTAAAGACGTACCATGATAAACGCCAGATCTCTACCTTGTTACCATATCAGCGCCCTCAGATAACATCTCTGTACGGACTTCCGCCTAGAAGACGTTATAAGCAGCCTCCAATTTACCAGTATAATACAGAATATAAAAATACTGCACATATTGCACGAGCGAAGCAGCCGCAAACGGGACTTCCAGGCTCACAGTATTCAAAAATATTTAAAGCTCAGCCACAGAGACAGTACGTTTCTTATTATTATCCTCATCGGACCCACTACAGGGACTGGTCTCGGAAGCTTCTTGAAGCGAGTGCGTTTGCGCGAAAGCTACAGGAAAGTAGAAAACAAACCCTCCTGCGGCAGAAACAGAGAACGGATCCGAGTGGTGCAGGGATCAAGTTTTTTGTCGCTGGTGTAAATCCAAATGGAAAAGTCCTGCAACAGTTGGCTACTCAGGGGAAAGTTCAAAACGCAAACGGAAATATTGTTTCCAATAAACCCTTAAAACAAAACTTTGCTGAAAATATTCCAAATACTCAACTTTCCGGCGCGACACGACCCATTCAGCTGAGTCCTTCACCAGCAACTGTTACAAATATGAACAACAAACCGCAAAGGGGACCTGCCTTTGTTGTCAGTCACCCAGAGATTCCAGCAAGTCCACCTTTACAAGATCAAAATGCAAAGACGAAAACGAGTTCTAATGAAATGTCTCCTCGTCCGTTGTCAGTAGGGATGACAGTTGGAAATGATAAAAATGCTAATCTTCAGTCGCAACCAAGACTTATCCCCTCCTTCAACAAGGGATCCAGCACCAATTCAAATGGCGCAATTTTGAGTGATAAGTTCGAAGGTGCTGCTTTGGGACCGAAAGCGCATTCATTACTTCAACCGACTCCCGCTCTGCGGTCAAGCCAAAGCGGCGACCTGCCACATTTCCACGCCGATGAGAATAAAAAGCCTAACATGAGCCACATTTCTCTTGGCTCAGGAATCAGTTTAAATAATGGGTCCCCAGCTAATGATTACACCTTGACACAAGAAGAACAAAGGAATGCTCTCACTGGAAAAGATCAGAATCAACTGATTAATAAAGGTTCTGGAAATCTCCTAGGAAATTCACCTTCAATAACCCAAGACAACTCGCATCCTTTACTTCAAACGAGTATTTCGGATAAACCCGCGCAGGGAGGAAGTCAAGCATCGTTGACGACTCAGGAGATGAAAAATGTTCAAGCTTCAACAAGCCCCGCTTCAAATTCTGCTAATGTTGATAAATCTACTGCTCAAGAGCTTAAGGCTGGTCTCGTGTTCGCCTCACCTTCCAGAACGCCATCTCAGGCACTGGTCACACAACCGTCTCGTCCAAGAATTGCACCAAACGGGAAAAACTCCTTCTCGAGAAATGACTTACCAGGAGGTTTTATTCATGACCCGCAAACACAATTAGACAAAGAGTTGGCTCTGAAGAACCTTCTGTTTCCACCGCCTGCTGTATCGAAAAATCAAGCTTTTGGCACAAATCCTGTTGTCCCTTCAAATTCTGCTCAATTTCAGCAGCCACAGCAGGGTCCCCGCGCTCAAGTTGACAACATGATACCTACTTTCCCAGCCTTCCGATATGATCGAAGACATAACATCCCACAATCTCCTTCACGCATTGACAAGAAGTCGTTTGTTCCGCAAAATAACAAGGTTCCTTATAAGGGTTCGTTTCCTCTTATGTTGCACAAGTTTTCACCCTACTTCAAAATGAAACGAAATCTCAAACAAGTGGCGAGCGAACAGGCCAAGGCCAGAAGGCGATTTCTTGAACTGCAACGTAAGTTACGTAAGATAATGTAAAAACTAACAGACTCAAAAGAGATTCTTTTTGTCAAGAAAAAACGGAGGTAACTGTAACTTCAGTTTCCCATTGGCAACTCTAATAAGAATCCTACTAATATTGGCTTTTACAAGAGATTTTCATAACTAGTCAAACCCCATCTTCTGAGATAACTAGAGAAAGGTGAACAATGTCTCTGTTAGTGTCTTAAATAACCTACATTCGATATGTTTGAGGGTGAGCCAGGAATCTCGTTCTAGTGGAACAATTTGAGGTGTTCTGATAAATTTCCCTTGGAAAATTCTAAAAAAAGCTTCCGCTTCCCTCCGCTGATTTATTTTGTTTGGCTTTCCATTTTGTTACAGCGGTTCCTTCCAAACTGACTTTTTAAGTGAGGGGTGGCAACTCGTGAAAGAAACACGGCTATGTATTTCTCCTAAACAATCGGGATCTTGGATTCGTTCCAAATATCGCGAAGCAACACACTCAACCCTAACTTGATTGTATGTATCCTGCGTGGCTGGCAGTTTTTCGCGCACTTTAAGTTCATCATACGTCCCAAACCTCTCTCTGTTTCGCCTTTCATAAAGCACACATAACACCGCTAGCAATGCAGGCTGAAATTTCTGCTGCGATCGTTTTGTGTCATCATCGGTGTTATACGTTTCAAATTGGTTAATTTGATATTACTTTTTCTCTTTTTTTTTCTTGTCCAGCTATCAAATGATAATTGTGGACCACCATGTTGGGCTAGTATCCTGGATAAATGTGCAGTTTGGTTGGAAGTAAAAGCAGTGCTTTTGGTAAACCCTTGTACTCCGCCAAATGTATTCATATATCATACTGGACTTGCCATAGCCGTTTCCGAAAGGCGTTTTACCACACTGAGACGTCTTTTTGACACTAAGCGAAATAGTTGGTACTCAAACTGGTATTCATTAGAAATGGTAAATATAGAAGATAGAGGTAGAGAAATGACAAGCAAAAAAAATGGATAGATTAGTTATTGCGGGATCCAATAAAAGGCTGCATACTGTACACAAGTAATAGAGTTGAAAGAGTTCGCAGCTCGATCTCAACATGCAGTCACTGAAATTGTTATTCCGAACTTGTATACCATATACCTGATACGCTGATCGTTTACGCAATGATTCTGTTTGATCATAGAGTTTCATGAAAGCGCTTTTCTACTGAGTGTTGTAAAATCGAAACCAAAGTAATCACAATGGCCGATCAGATAAAGGAAAACGCCTTTAAGAACCACTGAGAACTCAAAGTAAATACGACCAAATTGCCTAAAAGGCGGGAAAACGCGGGTGACCAAGTCGTAATTTGGTTTTAGTTTTGTATCTGATTGGATAAACAATGACGCGAGTTTTCTGGACCAATCGCAGAGCGAAATAAAGGCAAATTTTCAGCTACAAGTCACCAGGCTTCGTCTTCGTTAAGCTGTCGAAACGTTCCTCTGTCATTTTGCAAACTAATGAAAACAAAAACGTAACACTTAAACATTCTTTATGTACAAAGAGCATAAACAGGATCAGGGAGATTTTAAATGTTCTTATGTAACAGCTTTGATTGTAACTTCATAAGTGTAATTAGAGTTATCGGTTTACTAATTATGTAAATAAACATTTTTCCGTTACTTATCTGAGAAGGTGAGTGTTGACTACATTATTCGCAACCACTGCTATGCATAGCCAGAGTTTGTTCACTTTAAAGCTCGTACATCTCTCCAGTGTTTGTCACTAGCTGCTTGTGTCATTAATCTGCGCAAGGTGCTTACCACTCCAACTTCCAATTGTTCTTTACCTGATCTCCCCCATAAGGTTTTATAACTTTCATATGACCCCCCCTTCCCTTATTGGCAATTAATTAAGCTTTTAGTAGTCCCTCCGGCCTTATACTCTATTGACGAAGACTTATCCTCCCTTCTTTTCCCTTTATGTGATCTTCCAACCCTCGAGGTGGTAACTAATGACTGATAACTTAGGACGAAACGATGTTGACAGTATTTATAAAAATTTACTATTCATTCCTGAGGAGTTATTAATTTCCCTTCAACGGAAAGATATTCCTTTCGCAGGGTTGAAAACCCACAAAGCCTAGAAGGAAGGCAGCCTACACGACATAAGTCGATGGGTACCATCCACTCGGGGATAGTTCCTGAGGCCGTATGGATTTTGGTAGGGAACAGTACAACCAAAGAAAAGCTCAAAGGATGAAAGGTGTGTTTGTAATGTAAGGCTAGCAATTTTCTTAAAAGCTAGACGTAAATTTGATGTTATGATCAGATAATAAACTAGTGAGATGAAATTAAGATTCACATGTGGATTTAATAAATTTTTTCTTACTGTTAAGTCTCTATGACTCAGCGGTAGAGCATTGTAACGGGGAAGCCGAAGGTCTCAGGTTTGATTCCTCATATATGGGGACTCACTATTTTTTCATTGTCCGGTGCTCGTAAAGAAACGATAAAACTCTTTCTTCACGATCCACCCGTCTTTAGACCATATTTTGACAAAGCCCTCTAGAAATTAAAAAACAGCTTCAATATGTGCCGAAACATAATATATATAGCTGACACATGCTTCCGATTTGCTTGTACTCCGCTTGTTTTGTTGCTTGAGTGCGCTAGGTAATAAAGCTGAATACGACACACCCCCAATCTCCCTAAAACATCAGTCACTATGTCACGTCTTGTGCCCATTCACTTCGTTGTAAATCCTAGGCCTTGATGATAGTAAGTGGTCTGAAGATATCTGAACAAATAGACATTTCAGTCCTTAAATCGGATAAACAGATCATACGATCAAGCTATGAAGTTGTTATGAAAACAAATTAATGAAGATTCAAATAAGAAAACTAAGGTAATATGGTTACAATAATCAGTCTTGAGGTTTAAAATTCTCTTAAAATGGCGATTCATTGCCAACTGAACTTTGCTACCTACCAGAAAAACTTCGTGAAATCCGTTTCCAACCAGAAATCAATTTGTGGACGTTTAAAGTCGCTTACTCGGATCCGTTAATCACTCAGTGAAACGTAGGCAATTTGAGCTCAGTATAACTAATAAAAAATAATCTCAAAGGATTTTTTGAATACTGCTCGTTTTTATTAAATACTGATATCCAGGTTTTCCTTATCAAGTATCTTAAACAGCCCGTTTATTTATTACATGACATCATGTGTTTTAACAGTTCATGTGTGTTCCAAGTCTTCACAACAATCGAAAGACCTGCTCTGAGCGGAATGTGTTGACACACACTAACAACCGTGTGATCAAACAACTTCAATAGAGTTACACTGCTCCAAATTCAATTAACGGTTCGGAACACGGCCTCTATAAGGTTTTGAACCATTTGATCCACCAATCTAGTCGTTACCTAACTCATCGCATCAAAATGCTCAAGTTCTTCCCCTTATATATCGTTTTACTTCTCTTATGTCAACAGTAAAATTAAAGGGCAGAAAATTGCCGTATTGTTTTAAATGTGACTTTAAAAATATCAAAGCGTTTGTAAGTAAAGCAAAAACATGATAGTTACCTATTCCCATCTTTAGACACTTTTCTTACAAGACGTACGTACTAATGCTTTCTCGTTAGCTATAACGTCAACTAACGGAAATTGAATCAATTGCTTGTTTACGATATAAGCTTTTTAATCTACATAAATTTGTTTGCTATTATCCCCAGACAATCTTTGTTTATTTGCTATACGCTGATAAATACAGTGCAAGGATAGTGCCAATCAGCGATGAACAGTCTGCAGGAGGCCGTCATCTTTGGCGCGAATGATAGGTTAGCGTTTTCCCGCCTTTTTCTGTTGTGATTATATTGTTCACTCACAAGCATGTGGTCGTTTGTTGGGACATTCTGCGATGTTTAGGTAACCTTTGCATAATTAACAGGTTTGAAAACAAGACGTTGGAGAGAGGGAGAGGGAGAGGTGTTTTCCTGCGAAGGAGAAATCTACAATGACAACGTTCTAAGGTTAGTAGCTGTTGAAAACTTTGCAAATTTGGTTAAAGATGGAAACGAGGGAATGGAACATTTTTTGTTAGAGCAGAATTAGGCGTCTAAAGCTATCACATGTTTATCTTTTTTGATTTGCTTGTTTCTTTTAAGGGGAAAATGACCCTAAACCATGAGAAGTTGAACAACCAAAGGTTTCCATGTTAATGTGTGATCTTGATTTGCGCCTTTTTTTTTTTTTTACCTTTTTTCGAACTGTAAAATGTTTGGTCCCGGGACATCCAATCTTGATGGAAATCTCCTAGAGGTGTCAAGAACACAATCGAATTTTCACGGTCGGTAAATTATTCACACGACCTGTGGTTTTGGGAAACAAAATGACATAATCAAATGCAAATGTGATGTTGTAATGACGACTGACCTAGGAAATCTGCAATCTATTCCAAAATCGCTTGTGATTACAAAACTAAGTCGAATTACTCGCCGAATTTCCTAAGAAAGGCGGAAAGAAAAAATTTGCTCATGTGGTAAAAAGGGAAAATCAAATTTGTTTCAAGCACGAGGTGTGCCTCAGGAATTAAAACCCGTATCAAGCTTTGATTGTCAGACGGGTAAGTGTCGACAGCAAATTTTCTTATATACCTCTTGGTGTACAGCGTGTCTCCTAGAAAGAGGATATCATATAACTTAACTAAGACAGAACAAAAGTTCCATCTGACGCTTTAAATCGTTTTTATATTTTGGATGTTTTATGCTTGCATTTTGCTGGAGATTTCAGGATGCAAATATTCAAATTTAAAAGTTAGGTAAGGTCAATTAACTTTGTGTGTAGTTGGTCTTGCATAATGGCGGACAAAGTATCGATTTTCAGTTTTAAGGGTGTAGAATGAACTCCTTATAAGTTGTATTCAGTGATGAAGTCTTTGCATTTAAGCTGATTTTGCACTTGTTTGGAAGTATATTTAGATCTTCACTTCAGTTGTTAGTCAAGATACCCGCGGAGTATTTTGATTTTGCTCTAATCTTTTATTATAAAGTTTGGAACAAAATCAGGAACTTACTTAACTGATATCCACAGTGTATACTGACACACCAGCCTTCAGTGCGTTGGTTTTACGGCTTTCGTATTTCTTCACAGATATTATCTATCCTTAGTTATACTGTCATTTGACAAAGCACAACGTAGTTCACGTTTGCCCAAAATTTTTTCATGATCAACATATATGGACTGCATTTGACAGTGCACATAGAGAGTCATGTTATCGATGGTCAGTTTCTATGTAGATGAAAGTTGAAAAACATAGAAAAACAATTAACTGAGACCATTCTTGTTTAAAATTTTGTTGACTTTTGAAAAACTAAGGCCGTTAGCTAGCTCTTAGAAACAGTATTCCTACAAATGTTTTGAATTTCAATTATTTTATCTTTAGTCTAGGAAACGTATTGGCAGTGAATATTATCTCTATAACATTTTCAATTTTATGTACTAATTGACGAGCAGATAACTAAAATACTGTATATAGACTCTTTATAAGGTCAACGTCAAGGCGGACACTTTAAATCATCTTCAAGTATAGTCGTTTCATCATCGCGTCAAGTCAAATAAAATACAGTCTGAACAAATTTCTTCTGTTTTTCAAATATAAATTCCTTTTTGTTCCACCTTCCGTTTCCTTTTCTTTCCTTTTGTCTTTTTTGTCTTTTTTTTTCTTTTTCAATGCGCTCTAGAAGTGTTATGCATTTTAGAAGGAGGACTTTCGGGCAAAGGCCAGGTTGAGATCATACTGGTTGCAATTATTAGCACCTTTTTTCGTCGTGGCTATTTCTTTTTGCGAGCATGACGACAGAGCGGGTGATAAATCTCTGCTTAACAAAATTAAATGGCATTTTAATGCCAGTTTCTGTGATCTGCTCGATCAATTTGTGGCGAGAGGCTGGTAGTAAAAGAGTTTCTCAAGCGGCGTTTTTTTAAATGTCTTTTATCAGATGCAGGTAAAAGGAAATGAACGAAGCTCCCTTGAACCATTACAACAAACATTATGGTCAATATGAGATTAAACAATTTGATCTACCAATAACAGATTTAACTTTTTATGGGCTACAAATGATTTTCAATTTCTCCTCCTAATAATCATAAAGGTTCTGAGAGACTCATGTGTTGAGTCCGGAATTTCAGAAATTTCGCATCTTCTAGGGATGTTCGCGACAGTCTGTTACAACAGTTGGCCTATTGTGAACGACTTTTTGACCAGTCTAATTTATGTCTATATTTATTTCCTCAGGTCGCCACCAACTCAGTTATGGGTTTTCGTTTCTTATTATTAATTATATCATTAGTAACTTTATCAAGAGCGAAAGGTAAGCAAAAGCATAACCAGTCTGTTCTCTTACATGTTGAATATTACTGATAACTACTCCTTGGAGGAGTA